TTTGACTTTTTTTCCTTTTTCACGTGCGCTGTATACCTCATTCTCGCTCCTGCTGGAGCAATTTCTCGCGGAAAAGCTGAGGAATTTCCTGGGAACCCGAGAAAGTAGTGGCAAGTTGGGAAGCCCTAGGAAGATGGTAGGCAGATGGGGGATGGGAAAGGGGGAGGGGCCGGGCTTCGCACCAGAGGAGGAAATTCCAGGGGTTAGTATTTCGCAAAACCGACCACAACGGCCTGGTGTGCCCCGCCCCCTTGTTGCCGCTGAAGCGAACTTTCAGATCGAAATCCGCAACGGGCGAATTTTCCATATAGTAGTCCTGGCAAAAGTGTTGAGCTTATAGAAGAGGAAATCTGCCAGTTCTGGAATACGTTTATGTCTTTATTCCACTTTATATCTCACGGAGTTGCGTCCATTGAAAACCGATCAAATTCCGTTCTGCAGAAAAATTGTGTTATTTTTATACTTTTGGCGACGCAAGCTATAATCTAAATAGTTCACTGCAAACGAAGGGGCGTGTCAGGCAGGATAAGACTGGCGCGGTGCCAAACTCATGCTCCACCAGTTGTTGAAGCGAGAAAGTGACAAGGCTGTATCATCGTTTATCACTCAAGTTCTACCAGTTGTGGTTGCATACCCTTTTCAAAAAATGGCAGAGAATGGTTGGTGGCGTTTCACACTCATACTGCCAGACACGCCCCTTCGTCCGCAGTGAACGAAAGCACATGCGATGGCAGTATTTCTGGCAGGTCCTTGCCATCGATCACGAATCGCCGCTACCGCTTGACAAAGGATTGTTCCTGGATAGTGTTATGTACAGACATAGGAAAAGGCTAAAAAAATGTGTCCAGTGGATCAAACATCGCTTTAATCTCTTAGGCAGCCTACAGACTAGTCGCGCTACAACTGTAGCGCTATGATTATCGCGCCACAACTGTACCAGACCCCAGCTTCCCTTTATGTTCTTTCTTCCTGTATTCAATCCCTTTTTCAATGTTGCTGATGAATTTTCGGGGAACCCGAGAAAGTAGTGGCAAGTTGAGAAGTTCTAGGAAGATGGTAGGCAGATGGGGGATCTGAAAGGGGGAGGGGCCGGACTTCGCACTAGAGGAGGAAATTCTAGGGGTTCGTATATCGCAAAACCGACCCCAACGGCCTGGTGTGCCCTGCCCCCTTGCTGCAATTGATGTCTCATTTCTACCTGATTCTTAGCTCCTCTTTTTCACTGTAACATTGAGTTTAAAAAGAACATTGAACAGAACGAAAACAAATTCGCAATCCGGATTGATGCACCACTGGAAGACATCAAACATCAATAGCAACCCTGAGACTGAATAATCAGAATCGGAAACGGTACAGAAAATCATTACCACAGTATCCTGTATCAAAAGCTACATTAAAACTCAGTGTTAAATTGAAAAAGAGGAGCTAAGAGTCAGGTAGAAATGAGAAACAAAAGAAGGGATTGGATACCGGAAGAAGGAACATAGGGGGAAACTGAGGTCTGGTACAGCTGTAGCGCGACAATTGTACAACAAATCTGAACCAGGGCACATCATAGGCCGGGATCTTGGTCGAGTCCGTACGCCTCCCCCCCCCTAAAATGCGGATCGATACGAACCCCCCCCCTTCTAAGGTTCGTGTTTTTTTGCCTTTTCGTTGGCGTTTTCTTCCAAAACCTACGTGGAAGAAAACAAGTGCCAAGCTAAAATTTCCCTGCTTCTTAGCAACTTCCAGCACTGAACATCACTAAGCCGAAGAATTTCTTTACTAGCTTATTTCCAAACATTCTGTAGGTACACAAAAGAGGATCCCAGCAGAATTGCTGACTCTATTTACAGGGATTCAGATTAGATGAACTCCGTTGTTCTAATACATGTGTTCCTTCAATTAAGATGGAAAACCATATGGCCCGACTCTAAACAGGTGAAAATTCAAAAATTACAACGGTTTTTCACCATTTTCTACCACTGCGTGTTAAGTGAGCGAGTTAGGGATCCTCACCCTCTTTGAAAACCCGTGGAAAAGAGAATCGCTCTGTTGATCAACACCGCACAGGATGCTGTGCTCCAACCTACAGATTATTGTGTGCGAATGCACGCGAAGGACTGGCAGCCATGCCATATTTGAACACCGAATACGCACGCCGCGTCCGTGCGTTGATTGCGGTGGGGCACGTTTTTTACAATCCCCTCAAGTATACCAACTTGTCTTTGAAGGATTATAACTTCCTATAATGCACGCCTTTAGGAAAGACAAAACGCAGTCGTGTAAAAAAAGATATGAGCTTTCCGAAAAATACTGAAATGTTTTTAACGTTGCCAAGTTCAGAGAGAAATTCAGCGTTGGGGATGGGTTGGGGATTTCCAAAATTGGATGCAAAAAGACCAAGACTGTTCTGGTTTGAACGAATATAATTTTCTGAAATTTCAATTGTTTGCAAACCTGGACCCAGCGTCGAATACTAGAGGACTCCTTCTTCCCATTAACCACCTCAATCGTTTCTGAAGTTTCATGAGAAAAAGGCGCTGGGAATTTTCCGGATTAAACTACGAGCAGCGCGAAAATGCCGTTTTCTGTGCACCGTTTCAAGTGGGCGTCTTTGGATATCCAGAAATGCATCTAAAATACATCCCTTCGTGGAATAGGAAACACATCCATTCGTGGAATAGGAACAAACAGTAGTTAGTTTAGCGCCCATTAGCTTCATTTCTGGATGCGCCATGCTCAGGCTCCGACGCAGAGGTAATGGGACTGAGCAAGTTCTACGCAATGCCTGTCTATGCGAGAAGATGTGTTTGTAGGATTTGAGGAGGTCCATAGCTAACCAACGCACTTGCTTACAGTCTTGTCCGTTCATCCGCAAAGGAGAACGGCAACCGCACGCCGTCAGATCCGTGCTCCACCAGTTGCTAAGTCCGATAAAGGAGACCAACTGCTGGAAAAGGTCTGATACGAACGATTTGGTAGCTCTGTCGTTCGTCGAAAGAAAAAACAACAGGTTGGAGCCGTACCACGCGCGGTCGCTCAGACACGCCCCATCATCCGCAGTGAACCAGGGTATGAGTTGTACTGTTAAAGACACTTACCGCGATAAAGTGTTCGGGTAATTGGTGCCCAGTAACGAGGCAGTGGCCCATTTGTAACCCCCAGTGGAAAAAAAAACCTCGCGAACACCCGGGACACGGACCTCCCATTAGCAGTGGGGGCGGGGCCTGGACGAGTGCGCCCGCTGTGGCTGCCGGGATCGGTGCGGCGGCCGCAATTGCGTCCCGACTTTCGAAATAGGATTATTTCGAATTGGAATAGGATATAGGAAACTGCGGAAACAGCTACGCCCCTGAATCGACGGTTGTCGGAGAGGAGAGCTCCCGTTTAATCCATCACTTGCGTGTGTCGAGAAATTCCGGGCATTGATGTCTCGATAAAACGTGTTCCACTGATAATTACAAGGTTTTTTCTGTCAGAGTGGAGCTGGGGAGAACAGAGGAGCTCTTCTCACTATTCATGCTGTTCTGTTATATTCTCTCCTGCTACGCGCGATGCGGATGCTCTAAGCAACAAGCGGGAGAAACAGACTTTCGTACGTGATACTCATCTCCCCGTGCTTTTTCTTCAATCCTCCTTCACTGCCTTCTTTAGTTTCTTGCCTCTCTCTTATCCTATGTATGCTTTTCTAAGAATTTTTGCAGATTGCTGATGTATTCTCATTATTTCTATGTAAATGGGCTTTGTTTTGGACTAAATAGTTGAACATCGGGCCTACTCCTTTCATAGTTTTCACACCTGCAAGTAATAAAGCAGACTGTTGGAGACCTCATGGACTATGCAAATGAAAAAAATACATAGCGAAAGCATCGCGGGGCCCACCTCTCGTCCGCCGCGGCGGCGGCAGGCTGACCTCTCGTGGAGTCCTAACCGTTCCCACGGAAGCAGCTCGGGACCGGACGCCTCGTCACCTACCGTCTCAGCGAGCCCAGCGAGCCTTGTGGAAATCGGTATAACTTCCTCATCCCGCCATATTGAGGGATGAAAGTGCTATCATCTTCGTCAAGGCATAGAGCGTTCCAAACAGCACGAATTCATTTTGAGGACCACTTTATCGCGGTAAGTTCTTCAAGTCGTCTATGTACTTACGAAATGACGCCAACTTATTGATCTTTCCAGTTAGTCTGGATTTTAGTTCAGCTGATAAGTTTTGTACTATTTTCTTACACATCCGGTTCTCTACAAGCAATTTCGCTATACAAGACCATCTTACACATCTTTGCGCTGCTCGTTACTGAGTGATGGACTAATTACGAGCCCCCCCCCCTCTCCCAGCGACTAAATACGACCCCTCCCCTGTTGGGGATCCCCAACAACGATGTGCCCTGGTCTGAACGTTGGCGCCGCTCTGCTCCTTACTCTTCTGGCACCCTCTGAGCGAATAGTACAGCGCAGAGAATAATCGATCTCTTCCCCTCTCCCCAACACAGGCTGTTGGGGGAGATTTCGGGTGAGGGGGGGGGACAGAGATGCAGAGAGGCTGAAGCAGAGAGACGATGGGCATTGGTAGAGATACCGGCAGACAGCGAGGGTGCTGGGTGATATCTTATCCTAAAGGGGAGGTATAACACCGGCCCCTGGTGCAATAAGGTACGACGCGTTCTGTGTCGTTTTTCATTACTTATTCATTTATTAATAGACGCAGGAACGAGCCCATCTGAAAAAAACAGAACCAATACACCAATTTGCACACCACATATTGAAGTACAGTGTCGTTCGCTGCGGACGGTTTGGCGTGTTAGGTGAGATGAGTTTGACGCGGTGCCAAAGCCATCCTCCACCAGTTGTTAAAGCGAGCAAATGATATGACTGTGTCGTATCGTTCGTACTATTCATTTTCTACCATTTTTTGTCGCATGCCCGCTTCAACAAGAAGGCAGAGAACAGCCGCACACTCACACTGTCTGACACGCCCAACCGTCCGCAGCGAACTACACTATATAACGTTGAAAAGAATGAAGAGCGAGAAACCGAATTTCAACGGGAGAAAAAAGGTCATTGGGGAAGATTTTGTCCGTTCTGATGCCGTCCGGTTCTTCCGCGGCAAAAATGAAACGCTTTCTTCGCGCAGTGGGCAAGATTTGAGAGGTATGTGTGGCCACTGGGGATGTTTTAGCGCATTTGATGCCACCGAAGACACTTTTAGTGCGGCCCGGTGCGACTGTGCACGATTCAAACACTTTGGTGGCAATGGCGACATTCTTAAACACGTTCTGGTGCCAAAAGGTTGTTTCTCGCGTGATGGGATCGTATGTTATTCTTCCCCTCGAAGGCTACGAACTAGAAACTTTCTCTGTTTAAAAGAATCTGGAATATGAGGAAGGGGGGGGTCTCATCTTTTTTTGAGGTCGGGATAAGAGCAACTTCATTTAATAGGGGAGATTCTTTTTGTTTCTTTTGTTTTCATTGTTTATATGAGTGTCTAAAATGTCCTACTGGCTGAACTGTTCCAACTTCCAAAACATTTATAGTTTACAAGTCGAGTTCAAACAACAAAAAAAGAAATAGGATGAAATTCCCCTAGGAAGCGAAACACTAATCTTTTATGCAACATCAAGGAGGAAGAAACTATTAATTCATATATAAGCTCAAAGAATGAATAAAGAAACACTGAGAAACTTACCCTAAATAAAGCTCCCACAACTTTAGCTTATTTCTGTCCTGAATTAAAAGAGAAAATAGAAAATAACAGCCATCAAGTTTGGTCCACCTTCCCATGAAACAAGTTTTCGTAGCAGAGACAATTTCAATTAAAAGAAAAAAAGCACGCAATTAAGCCGATTCTCCCTAACAGTGTTCGGAGCTGTCCAAGTAGGAGCGCGCTCTGACGCGTACCGACGATCACGGAGATCGCTACGATCGCCGAGGTCGCCGCGATCGCCGCTGCTGTCGCGAAGTATGAATGCTGCCTAAACCTCCGCTCCCCTGCCATTATCCCTATCAATGCCGCTCGTCTCTCTGCTACTGCCCCTCTACATCTTTGCTCTCGCACGCTTGCGAAATCTCCCAACGACATGCGTTGTGGGAGAGGGGAGCATATTCTGTGTTGTACTACATATGTCGCACAGAGCGTGCGCCAAAAGAGTACGGATGCAGGCGGCGAGAGCCAGAGAGATGAGCGGCATCAGTAGAGATAGTGTCAGAAAGTGAAGATTTACTAGGAGAAATTTCCCCTTGTGGGGAAGAATAGGTAGGGCTCCTGGTAGAGCAGGTAGTGATTCCAAGCGTTCTGGCACAATCGGTCCCAGTGACGATGTGGCAGTTAGCTGGTGCTACTGTGCACACTTGAAACTGTTCCTTGTGGAACTGTGCACGATTAGACTAACCATTTCGGATGGGGAGCTGTGGGCCTCATCCAATCCTGCGCTATCTCGCTGAGAGGAAGTAGAGAAGCAACGTGTTAGTGCGGAAGGATGCTTACTCGCAGTTGCGAGGTGGGCGTTGCAAGGGGGAGGGGGGAGGGTACGCAGTATCCGGCATCACCCAAAGTTGGACCGGCGCTGGGTCTCCATCTCCCTAATGAAGTCGTACTGTGATGCTGTCACTGGGACGCAGAGTCCCACACCTGGTATTCGAATGATGGGTGGAGACGTCGGTGACATGAACAGTACACGGCATACATATTAGGATGGACGGAAAGTCCTGCGACATTTTGACCAAACTTTCGGACTAAATTCTTCTCCACTGAAAGACATTTCTGATCTACACGGTAATCACAGTTGATGATTAGGACTAGTGCCAATTTTTTTGCACAGCGTCTCATTTCCATTCTCATATAAGTACGGCATCTATGATAAAAAGAAGAGGTGGACCTCATTTTCGAGCAGACGTCTTCTTCTCCCTAGCATTAGTCCCGCGCCGTCGCAGGGTCCGCTGTTCTTGTTAGACGTCGCCACTTGTTCCGATCCACTGCATCTTCTACTGTGGTTTTCACTTCAGTGAGGTCCCTCTTGATGACGTCCCTCCATCTTTTCTTTGGGGCTCCTCGTGGTCGCTTGCCTTCTGCTTCGAATTCCAATGCCTTCCTTATTGGGTGGTCCTCAGGCCTCCTCAGTACATGACCGTACCATCGCAGTCGCTGCTTTCGTGCCTTCAGCTGGATAAGAGCTGTCTGTGTGACCTCTCTGACGTCCTCGTTTCTGACTCTGTCGAGTCGTGTCCAGCCGCAGGCCCATCTCAGCATCCTCATTTCAGCTGAATGGAGCTGCCTTTCATGGCTCTTGCAGATACGCCGGCACTCACTGCCGTAGAGCATTTTAGGCCTTGCCCCGGTACACCTTGCCCTTGAGCGTTCTCGAGCACCGCCGATCGCACAGGATGCTGGTGGATTCCCTCCATTTCATCCAGGCTGCGTTGATTCGGGCCGTCACCGCCTGGTCCATGCTGCCATCAGCTGCTAGGGTGCTCCCCAGGTACTGGAAATCCTCGACCTTTTCGATGCTCTCGCCATGGCGGTCTACGATGAGTTCGGCGCACTCTTCGGAGCTTAGAAACTTGGTCTTCTTTACGTTCAGCCGGAGTCCATTCTCAGCGAGCACATCCTGCCACCGCTGCACCTTGTCCTGGAGTTCCTGCCTGCTGTCCGCTATCAGGGCGATGTCGTTTGCGTAGAGGATGGTTTTCAGTGGTCTCTCCATGAGTTCTTTTGCCATGGTATCCAGAGTCAGGAGGAATAGGAACGGGCTGAGGGCTGACCCTTGGTGTACCCCAACCGTAATGTTTACCTCTTTTGTCAAGCCGTGAGGGGTGCGTGCAGCTGCTTTAGCCCCATCGTACATATCCTTCACTATGGAGATCAGGTGCTCCGGAACGTTACGTTCTCTGAGCGCTTTCTAGAGTACAGGCCTAGGCAGGCGGTCGAATGCCTTCTCAACCTCCAGGAAGGCTCGGTGGCAGGGTCGCCGCTTCTCACGGTACTTCTCCATCAGCTGTCTTGCGATGAAGGTGGCATCGGTGGTGGACCTCTCAGGTATGAAGCCGAACTGTTCCTGTGAGATAGGGACAAGTTGCCTCAACCTAGTGTTGACCAGGCGCTCGTACAGCTTCATGGTATGGGGAGTCAACTTGATGCCGCGGTAGTTCGAGCACTCCGTCGCTTCCCCTTTCTGTTTGAAGATGGGGACGATTGTGCTGCTCCTCCACGCATCTGGCATCCTTCCTTCAGCCGTTACATTGTTTAGGAAGATTGTCAGCCATCACCCCAAGCTCTCCCATGGCCTTCCATGCCCTCTATCGGTACCCCGTCTGGACCCGCTGCTTTCCCAACTTTCATTCACCCTAGCTCACGGCGGACTTCATCCTCTGTTCAGGTAGTGATGATGCCTGCCGTCGCCTCTATCTGTGGGCTATCCTTGCGGGGGAATTCTTCGTTCAGAAGTCCCTCGAAGTATTCTTCCCACCTCTTCCTGACTTCGGCTGGTTTCCTGAGAATGGCCCCGTTGCTGCTCTTCACTGTCTTTACGACCCTGATGTCCTAAGCAGCGCGATGCCGAGCTTTAGCCAGGCGGAGACGAACTTGTCCCCTTCTCGGCCTTCCAGCTTGTCGTACAGGGCGTCCATTTCCGTATCCTTGGCCTTAGCAACGGCTGTCTTAGCGAGTCGCTTGCAGCTTTTGTAGGCAGCGTAGTCTTCTGGGCTCCGTGTCTTTTGCCAGCGTGTATGCTTCCTTCCTCTGCTTGAAGATCCTCTGGACTTCCTCGTTCCGGAACTAAGCTGCCTCGTCTCCTCTGACTACCACCTCGCGTCTCCTCCCAGGACCTCCTTGCACACTGTAGGATGACCTCTGCTGCGTAGGTCCAGGTGTCCTGGACTGGCCCATGTGGGTCTGGGAGCCCAGCCTCCAATATTCTTCGGCCGAGGCTGTCCTTTTCTAACTTGCCCATTTTCCACCACCGAATTCTCCGCTCTGCTCTTACCCTCGTCTTCTCGGGGAGGTCTACGGCGATGTCTGCCAGGAGAGGCCTGTGCTGAGGGCCCAGCTCTTCCTCAGACAGTATCTTGATATCCTTGACGGTTTTGGGAAACGATCTTCTGACCAGGACATGGCCGATTTCCGTTTGTCTCCCTCCACTGCTGTAGGTTACCTTTTGGGTCCTCCTTTTCACGAAGAAGGTGCTGCAGATTACTGAGTCGTGGGCTGTGGCTAGGTCAAGGATCCGTCCTCCCTCAGCGTTCTTTGTCCCTATTCCTTGACCTCCGTGCACCCTTTCTAGACCCCTTCTGTCAATCCCAACATGGCCATTCAGATCTCCAGCTATGGTGAGATAGTCCTCTTCTGGAACCGATCTTACGGCCTCGTCCAGGGTCAGGTAGAACTCATCCTTTTGCGCTTCGGAGCAACGGGATTGTGGTGCGTACACGGTCAGTACTGTCCAGTACCCCTCCTTCGTGTCTATTCCCACTCCCATGATCCGGTCACTGATCCTGTTCACAGTGGAGACGCAGTCCTTGAGCGATTCTGCCACCGCTATGGCCACGCCATTCCGTTTGGTGTCTGCTCCATTGTAGAAGAGTTTAACACCTTCTCCGATCTCAGGCCTTCGCACCCTTCCATCGCGTTTCCTGCAGGCATAGGACTTGAATATTCCTGCGTCTCATGACGACGGCAACCTCACGAGACTTCCCGGTAAGCGACCCCACGTTCAGGGTCCCAATTCGAACTAACTTCTTTGGCCGAGGTCGTTCACCTCTCGGTAGCCCTCGCATACTGACCACAGAACTCAGGCGAGGGTTCTGCACGCCACTTCCGGGTGACGTCCTAGCTTTTACACTAACTCTATTGCGACTTGTCATGGTTGTTGTGACGGGTTCCTCCATCAGCCGGCCTGTCAACCTGGGCCTGACGCTGGTATCGTCCCTATTTTTGCTGTTTTTGCAAGGCAGGTTTGTGCCTCGGCAGAGATCGAACTCGTGGCTCACAGTGAGATTATGAGTCTACATTTTTAACCACTCGGCTACCCCTCCTCATTTTCGAGCAGACGTCGATTTTCGGAATTGCCGCTCTTTAAAGGATGCGATAGGGACCAAAGAGGTGGTAATTAGAGGCTGCTAACTTTGTTAAATAACCTGGGTACGGTTGCATTCTCTGACCAAGATCCATTGTCTTTTGACCCCCACGTGCGGTCTTCGCATTGCCGAGTAGTAGAGAAAAATTGAGTATTTCTGAATGAATTCGAGCATGACATCATTCATGTTTTGAAGTTGTTTAGAGTGGACCGTGTCCCTTACAGCTGTGCCAGTATCCAGCGATACCGCTTTGAAGTTCCACCAATAAAACACTGCAGTCTTCATCCCATGCACATCTGCTTCTGGCTAAGCAATCTACTTTTGTGTTCGAGAGATCCTGCGAGGAACATGCGCATGATGTACGCAAGGACACCACCACTCACCACCAAGGGCGAGATCTCGCAAATGTTCTTCCAGTATATACAAGGAAAAAAAGCTGAGTCACGGCTATTGAGTGCGCTTCGTCAGACCGGTCCAACTCATAAGGATCCTTCACAAAAAATTCTCCCAATAACCGAGATTGCAGAGAAGCATGGCAGTTGCCAGTTAGGTGGAGCCTAGAGACCTTACCAAGCTACTGGTGTTTACGTTCGGCTGCACCTCAATAAGCTTGAGTAAACGGCCGTCATTCTGTGCAGGTGGCCGGCCTTTACGTTGCCTACCTCCGAATCAAATAAGTCCAGCTTGGAAGCGCTGATGCAAAAGCTACCCTCTACCATGGCATATCCTTCCTATATCCTTCCTTGAAACATAGGTGTTAGCTTCCTCGACCACGGCTGAGTGGCCCTCCAGGAACTCATAATATGGAATAGGTCGAAAAGTACCTCGATCTCTGAGGGACTTTTAAACTTTAAAACTTCCTAAAAGTCATGATACACCCATTTGCAGAAAGCCTAGAGGACAGTCTCCACTAATCAGGGATGAAAACACTCGAAATGTTTTTTGGTATTTTTCTAGAACATTTCAATCGAAGTGTCGCAGACTTTCCGTCCCACCTAATATTATACGCAGAACACAGCGAAGCCTCGTAACTCATCTCTGGGAGTGGTACTCTGGAATAATCAAAGAAAACATATTAACGTACTGATTTTTTTCCATAAGACCGTAGGAACATCACCCCTCAAGCGAATATTGGGTTGTTGATAAGTTTTTTCCCCGATTTTCTTTGTAAATATCTCATTAGCGAACCAGCCTGAAGAGTAGAGGTATGCACAATCACCATCCACTGCGACGCCAGCGCTCTTGCAGCTTGTTGATTCCATCGCAGAAGGACGGGGCTCGGACCCGAAGAAGGCCACAATGCCGCACAATCACCACTGTGACATGGTTTTACACTGGTAATTGTGCGGCATTGTACCCTATAAATGCAGGAAGGGTGAGTGATAGCTAGTGTGGTAAAAGAGCATCATGTACACGTCACGCACACATGATGACGAAATACTAGCATCTATGCAAACGAAATGCGGAAGGATCAAAACAGGGAGGAAGAAACATATGCAACAACCTAATATTTATTTATAAATATTCTGGTACATTCTTTCACGAGGCTTGTCTAGGAACCGATTCAAAGCTATTCCAACATGCCTCAGTCAAAACATGAAGACAGGCGGCATGGGACGGTTCCTACTTGTTGATGGCCGCTTTTCTCCCTTATGATCTCACTCCTTATACTACGTGTAGAGTGGGTCCCCGGCCTTCCAACCTGAGGGCCAGTCGGATCGCCCGCCTTCGCCACAGAAATTTTTTTTTGCAATTCCAGAACATTACCGTTTCACATTTGGTATATACCCCCCCCCCCCTCCCCTAGTGGACGGTGGTAAAATTTTCGTAAAGGCAAGGAGTGGGAAGTGGGTAGTGGATGCTTAGTGGATGAACCGAAGTGGGAGTATGTGTGTATTTGGGTTGTTGTAGATAATAGCAGGTAAATAAGTAAATAAACAAATAAATACAAATAAGTTATAAATTTTCGATTTCCACCTCATGTTCACTACTATTCTCATTTGTCTTGAGACGAAATCATGAACTTTTGTCCTTTACTTCTGCTGGAGTTTCGTTCCCTTACATCATCTGGTTTCCCGCTGTCGCCGTTCAAGCATATTACTCATCCTTCGGGTTGCTCAGGATGCCTTTTGAAAATTTTTACCCTTGGCACCGTTCACTTCTACCCACGCCCCGCCCATTGTGGGCGGAGCCAAGGTTACCTTGTAGGTGTTCTGTAAATGGCCCATGCCACAACCATCCCAAGCTTGATCCGTTCCCCAAAAGTGATTTTCCACATAGTCCCAAATTTTCGGGTGGACACGCAAACATACAAACACACACACAACTTCTGCTTTATAATATAGATAGATAGAGAGGATATCAATTGGAGGGGGGTGGTAGCGGAAAAGCACCAGGTAGCAGTTGAAAATGAAGGTTGGGCGCTGCCGGCCTGTGACTTCGTCGCGAGCGGACGGCGCTTTCTTTACATATTTTCGAGCTGCGAAGGTGGTACATCTCCCCTCCGTTCTTCTGGACAAGACTACCATGTGTAAAGAAGAAGTCTGCGCATCAGATGAGTTGTAGGCGTGATTTTAGTCCTTTGAACGAACGGATAGTGATGTGATGAGCAGAGCTCCCTCTGGAACTCGTATTTTTTTTCACAATTATACAACAGAGGAATTTTTGTGGTTGAAGAAAAATTGGGTGCGCAGACGCCTCGCCTAGTTACAGGGCATCTGTCAAACAGAATTTCTCGCTGCTAAACATTTCATAGTTCCTCCATTGAGCAGTCTTTCAAGGCAGAGGGCGAAGACGCAGGAAATAGAGGACAAGAAAAGAAAAGGGAGACATCACTAGTTACAGATGTTGTGAGATCGTCATACTCATGTCATGCTCGTCTCGTACAACCGCTTTTGCCTGAGCTCCCGACCATTGTATCGTTAGGAGGGTGCTGACGAGCAGAAAGTGGGCATGGAGCCAAGCTTTGCTGCCGACTGCTGTCATCCCAACGATAAACATGGGTTTTCTCTTTATTTTGGATGTTTACGCTAGTCATATAATCGTCAATTCTTGCCCCTGACCAAATGATTTCCTAAATTTGCTCGGTGGATCATTTCCAGTCATTATGTCAAACGTGGATCCAAAGCTAGTACGACAGGAAATCGACGAATTGCTGACATCAGGAAGGCTAGTTTCGTAGATTTTTCGTTCTGATTGTCATGCGTTAAGTGAGAATTAACCAAAGAAATGTTTTAATTACAGGTTAGAGAGGCTGGAAACTGTTTCAGCACACATTTTCCAAATGTTTGGACGAGAGTGGAGAGAGCTGACGAGCAGTGAAGTTTTCATACACGTCTTCCATGACTCGTTTGACGATGTGGACAAGTTACTTGCACGGGACCGCTATAAGGTGATTTCTGCTGTTTCGAACCTCTCATGGTTGTACTCGTCTTCGAAACTGGAAGTAAATATACGGCTCAACGATTGCAGTCAGCCGGCTCTAACACTCCAGTTGAACCCATCAATATCAACCGGTTCGTGCCTAGTTTCAGCTCCCAGTCCGAGCAACCTCTTAATAATTAGCAGGTTCTCGTTGCAAAGTTGGCAAAAAGCTATCACTTGCTTCCCTTGCTGCATTTCTCGTTATTTTGCAAAGTAGCTTCATGAGTCATGCCCAACAAAGTGGCAGATTACCTGAGAATTGTGCTTTTTTTTGTGCTTCATCAGGTTTAAGTTGAACAACAAAAAGAGAGACTGGGAGTTAATAAATTTAAGACGCTGAAAGCTAATAAATTTGTTTGGTTTGTCCTAAAATGAACTTTTAGTGCCTTTCGGTAATCCAACATGTTACACAACACAATGAGGCCTCAAACGTCTTGAACAAACTGAAATAGATCTCAAATGAACCTTTCCGCTTCCTAGTTGTTCTGCACAATATGTGGAATTGCCGGCGAGTATCTCGCGCAGACTTTAGGAGAGCCATGACCGGCACCTGCTTCGTTGCACCCATTTTTGAGTAACTAATAGTTCGATGGTTTTGGAGCCTAAGTTCACACATATGGACCGTTGTGCTCTTTCAAACGTAGAATCCTTCGTATATTAATTAATGATGTTCAATTGCAGCTCGTTTTTGACTTTATCCCATTATCAGCGAGTTTCACGTTCACCTGTCTGAGCAGGAAGTTTGTCCGTCTCAGCCTCAATAAATTTGAGAGAACTGCTCCTGCGTATGGTTTTGGATTTTCAAATCTCAGAGAAATGGAGACCGTATGATTTTCGGTGTCAAATTGATGTCTTTATCTCATTGTAGAGTTTTCTTTAGTTCTGTGCTCATCTGGATCGAATTCGCAGCTATGCAAAGGCCACTCTTGTTCCTCCAGTACGTTCAATAGTGTTAGGTTTGTTTTCAAATTCATGCACACCGTGGAACCTTGTGTTGCGAAGCCAACAACCCCGTTCAGAATTTCTTATGGAATTGGTTGTTTACACCGTGTCAAGCTGGACTTTTCTCAAAGCTGAAATTACGGAGACCCGTTTGTCAATTAAAGGGCGCGACCCGCTCCGAATCTCCTGTCCTCTAAGTCCCTCATTCTCCCAACTGTCGTAGTCGATTTGTCCTGATCTGCTTCTTCGGCGCGCATCCTCCTGTTCTCCGAGTCACTGGAAAATAATGTACAGAGCACTGTGAACAAATTTCTTTTGAGGAATGGGCAATATCGGTTTGCAGTCTCCGTCCTCTACACCTCCTCGTGTGAACATCCCATATTTTTATGCAGACAACACAGTAACAGATATCCCTTCAACTCTCAGTGAGTTTCATTACATTTTACCTGACCGATCTCCCTATTTTCAACACTTACTCCTCACTGATTGTTGACGACTATAAAATATATGATTTTTATGAAAAACATCTGCATGGGACTCGCTGTCACCAGCTGCATTGAATCACTCGTCTTTACTGTGCAGAGATCCTCCACAATTTCATCAGTACTGCTCCAGAGCACCATTTCATAGCAGGCACAACAATTCCATGAGTGCATCGGATTTTATCAGCAGGTGAGACACAAGAAAAAGTGAAGGTCGGACTATCTCACCATCATCTAATAGTTTGATGCATAGTTTCAAAATCACTTCATCTATTTTCCTGCTTTTTATTGCCCCATTTCTTTTTAATTCGGTGTGTTCTATATCATGAAGCCTTTATTAACTAGAGAGCATTGCCAGTGCTTTTCAGCTGTTCGATTGCTTTGTAAAATTTAATGAGTGATTGGCCTATCCATCAACGGTGCCGTCCTGAGTACGCAATAACTGGCGGGAGAGGCCGTCTCGGCTCACATCATCGTCGCACGCCCAGTCGTTTGCGCGGATCATGACCATGTGTTGTGTGGAATCACAAAGGCATTGTGGTATAAATGACAGACAGTAAGCCCAAAGGCGAGAAAATCAGGAAAAATGCATGTCAGGCGAAAAACAGTTTGAGAAGAGAAAAGGGACCGTTGAGTGGAATGAAAAACGTAGAGGCACAGTATGATGTGACTGGAATGGTAGAATGACCTTGTGCTAACGTTTTGGCTTCATCTCATTTTTCGCTGTTTTCAGGCACGATTTGCCCTGCAATGACTGCATTTCGGATGAATATGGTTGCGCGGAGCCAACAACCATAATACCTATGTGCGAAGCTCCTGACCTTAGCAAGGTATTAGTTTTGTATTCTATTTCATTTTTATAACATGACTAGCATCCAGGATGTCGTTTAAACTCTACTTCTTAGAAGTTAGAAATGTAGCTGCACCACTAGAATACGGCTCTCAGCAGCTTGTGCTCAAGTGAATATTCAAGTTTGTGAGCTCTCAAGAGTGGCCATGTAGAATTAGCGATTGTAGAAGGACCACAGAAATAATCCAGAGCGATTTCGGACTGTGGTTTCTGTGACATGCGAATCCTGGATTGTACTCGAAAATTGGGAATCTTATCGACTCAAAAAGTCGCAGGCTTTCCCGTGAACACTGGAGAATGTTAACAGTTTCTTGGTGGTGCATTCAGAAAATGTCAAAGTGGTAACCATATGATATGCGCGGGCTGCGGATCTTGTGTCTCTGATGCTCATCACTAGTTTGGGGCTCTTCGTGTTTGAAAATGATTTAGATGGCTCAAATATCAGTGACAAAATGGTGAGTAACACAAAGGTGAAGAAAAAGCAGAAAATCCCGAAATGCTTGTATAGAACTGCTGCACCGCGTTCGCAGTGCATGAAGAAAGGAGTGGTCGGATGAGTTCTCTGTTGTTATTGTTAGGTCTTTCTCCTTATCTTTTCCTCTCACCGTTCAAAATTGAGAAAGCCAGTAGCAAAGCAATTACACCATCAGGAAGCCATCAGAAAAGAAAGATGAGCGTTGCCTTGTGCAGCCGTGGCCTCGTTACGGGCGTTGCGGGTTCTTCACATATTTTCGAGCAACGAAATTAGTATATCCTTCATGCTTGCAGACAGGAATACCATGTGCGTAAAAGGCGTCTGATCAAATGATTTGGGTGAACTTTTGAACTGAAATTCGGTCCAGAATGACAACTGTGTTACTTTTTCGCCGTTGTGGGGTCCGTTGTTTCTGACAGATGTCGTCACCTTCTGTCCAGGGCATCTACTGTTGTGGCCTTCTCATTGATTGACTGATTTCTGAATTTCATACTTCGTGAATTGACGTCTAGCACTTCGCACACCGCACTCGTTTCGAGCGACTACAGCAGTTGCATGTGTAGGTCCCAGCGGGCCATACGAGGTATGTGGTGCGCGGTCTTGGATATTCTGTCAAGTTCAGAAGTTCATGGGTAGAGTTTCTGCTTCACGGGACTATCGCAAGGGGAAAGATAGTTATGATGACTCATTATTTTCAGGTGGATTTAAAGCAGAATTTGCGAAAGAGAAGCAGTGAAAACGATGGGCAACCCTATGTCTAGGGTAAGTTTGTAGCTTTATAGAAATTAGTAGCGGAGAGCTTCTCGTGCGCTGCTCTTTTATTACACTGAAAGACTAGGTTCGATACAGCGCGTGGAAATTGCGTGCCGGGCGCTTTTCTCCGAATAGGGTGGTTTCACGAAAGCTACGGATGGGGTTACAAAATTTGCGTTTGTTTGAAGAATATAATAGCACAGATTAGGAGATGAATCGAGAGGTTCTATCTTGTAGATGAGTCGCTTGGTGCTTAAGCAGTCTTTCCCTGAGACTTGTATATACTTGTACTTGTATATGGTTATAGACATACACTACCTCATCTCAGAACCCTACTATCATTTGAAAACTTTGATAGCTCGATCCTTCAACAACTTTGCTAGCCAACCAGCTCCCTCCAACGGAGCTTATTCTTTCTGAGTTACCTCGCCTTTCGTACCTTATTATGCTTCCCTTAGTCGCATAGTGGGCCTGAAGCTGGGTTGTTAGGGGTAGGGAATACCTGACATCCGAAAACCCAGCTTCAGGTATGCAGGCGTGCCCTGGTGCCCCTGTATGTGGTGTCTCCCTAGCACCATCCGCTTGTTGATTTTTAATCCCCATGCTCCTCTTGTTACGGGGGCCAGGTTTCTCTTGTCACTCACTAACTCATATTCGGGACCATGGAAGCGGTCTTTCGTGTGTCTTAGGCTCGTTAGGTTTCATTACATGTGTTGCCGCATACGACTGGTCTTTATGTGATTGCTATTATTAATTTTTTCTGTTATGTTCACAGTGTAAGTTTTTATTTTTTATTTTTTCTTAATGTCAGTTAAGAAGCTTTTCGTTTGTTTTATTATGCTGCTGTTACGCTGACTGACTGCCATACAATAAACAAACAAAAAGTTGTTGAAGGATCGAGCTATCAAAGTTTTCAAATGATAGTAGGGTTCTGAGATGAGGCAGAGTATGTCTATAACTATATATACAAGTCTGAGAAGAAGACTGAGAGAAAGACTGCTTAAGCACCAAGCGACTCATCTACAAGATAGAACCTCTCGTTTCATCTCCTAATCTGTGCTATTATATTCTTGAAAAAAAAACGCAAATTTTGTGACCCTATCCGTAGTAGTAGGCTCGGATAGTAGGCTCGCCTTTGCGCCTTTGGGTGAATCCTGCGGCATTTATCATTTACGTCATCGTTGTCTTTGACGACGATCCCTTCCCTCATCGTCGTCTGACAGTCTGAGACGACGATCCCTCATTGAATTCGCCCCCTACCTGATGCGGGGTCAAGCCAGGTAGGGGAATCATACTCAGTCATCCTCATCGAGTATACGTGGGTTCCGTTACATGAAGAGCTCATTACAATTTATTGTTCTTGTTATTGCCTTGCTATTAAATAGACCACTGAACCACCCCCACCATTTTTGGTGCATCGCCCTAAATAAGCCGGTTTACATATCTATATTTCCCAGCACATTTCTCTTCTTCTTCCCAGCCATTCACGCATTTCTTTCTTCTTCTTCCCAGCCATTCACGCGATAATATAATAATAAGTAGAACCGAACGTGGTTCTACACTCAACGCTAAATAATCTTTTGAAGACTTCAGTCAATAATTATTTAGAATCGAACGTGATTCTATGATAGTTGTTAGTCAAAACTTCAATCATTAAACAGAATCGAACGTGGTTCTATAGTTGAAGCTTCTCAGATTTGTATAGTTTCCAGTTTCTCAAAACTTTTAATTTATAGAAATGGCGCTTCATTTCCATAGAAAGCCCATAATCGCTAGCGCTAATACCCTTAAAATTTTAGTGATGCGCTATAGTGTCTATACCACCAAGGTGGACTTTATAAGCATAGATGAGGAGACCTACGAAAGGTGTAGGTCCACCATCGCCTTCTTGCAGAGCAGCATAAGGCAAATAAAAGAAGCGCGCGAAAGGCTACAAAACCTTTATGAGGAGATTAGGGAGGAATACAAATCGTGTAAAAATAAATCAGAAAGGAAGGACATTATGCTCGAAATGGAGCAAATAGAGGAAGAATCCAGCTTTCATCCCATTACGGCCAATGCGGACGAGCTCGGTTTCATGCTCGCTGCCCGCTTAGAAGAGGCAAAGTGCGCGCGTGATAGAATGGACGTTAAGCTGGGGTACCTCACGCAGAAGGACCAGTGAGTACTAGAGTCAGAGGATCGCGGGAGGCTAAACAGCCCCGACGAGGTCTCCGACCGGAATAGCGCCTCCAACTCCCTTCAATAACCTTCCAGCTAACGCAGCTGAAGAAAGGGTACCTGAGCGTGCAAGCCAACCAAGAACCTGCCGCTCAGTAAAACAATAACGATTGTTCAGTAGGGCCCAAGTGGCTCACAAAAGAGTTTAGGCGTGAGGTTGAGTGCCATAGTCGGCCACGGGCTCGCACCACTATTCGGCGCGACGAACAAGCGGTCGTAGGCGATTTGCCGGCATA